ACGGACTAGCATACACAGACACCATTTGCACAGTAAGTAATTTCAATGGAAGATCAAAAGCATATTTGTCACATCCCACATAATATAGAAACAAATACCACAGAAAACCTAGGCTTATTTTGTGTCAACGTCAGCCGAAAAAAAAAGGAAAGGAAAAAAAAAAAACCAAGATGGAAGTTTGGTTTTTACAAACAATCAGCTAATTAAACTGAAAGCACACATTTATCCGCCCTAAATTGTTCTAATTGAGTAATTGTGATGGTCACTTATGCTTGCAGTGGGATATTCTTTCCAATGGGGGAATTGTTCAAGAGATGGCACACATTGCGAATGGTCGCGACACTGGGAATTGCGTGTCTCTACTACGAGTAAATGTAGCTTTATGTTTTATAATAATTTTGTTTTCCCTAATTAAGTATATTTCTTGCTCTTCACATAACAATTGACATAGTAACATAAAATTAATTTGTAGAGTGCCAATTCAAGCCAGAGCAACATGCTGATACTGCAAGAGAGCTGCACTGACCCAACAGCTTCCTTTGTGATTTATGCACCAGTTGACATTGTTGCCATGAATGTGGTGCTGAATGGGAGTGACCCTGACTATGTTGCCCTTCTTCCTTCTGGGTTTGCTATACTCCCGGATGGAGCCGGCATTGGAGACTCTGGCTCTGGTGGTGGTTCCCTTCTCACTGTTGCTTTTCAGATCTTGGTTGATTCAGTCCCAACTGCTAAGCTGTCTCTCGGGTCGGTTGCAACAGTTAACAATCTTATTGCTTGCACTGTTGAGAGGATCAAAGCTGCATTGTCATGCGACAATGCGTGAACTTCATGACTCAATTAGTTAATTTAAATAGGTAATCTAATTATACATGGCACATGTTACAAGTTAATTGCATGTCACATATTTGGTGTGTAATATTAGTCAAATAATCGTTTGCCCTTATTTTGTTGCAATATTTTGAGGACGAGGAAGGGAGGTGAAATGAGAGATACAGCTGGTGGTAAGGAATTTCGGCAGCTTATACCCGGGAGGGGAGAAGTCAAGAGCGCACCCTACATGATCTTTTTGTATAATCTATAGAGATTAGGGGTTCGGGTATTGACTTCGTTGAACTATGTTAAAGGCAAATTAAGCGCTTGAGACCTTATTAATTTTTTGTTTTTGCTTGTATTGAACTTTCTCCTTTTCCACCTCTAACCCTGTACACAAGATTAGGGTTTTGGCCATATATTGCTTTTCTTTATGGTCAAACGTTCAGGGTTTCTTTTTTGAAAAAGGTTTTTAAAAGTATGGTTTTATTTTAAGAATTTTCTTTTTTTTTTTAAGTAATTTGTGTTGAATGATTGTGGATTGTTTGCCTTTGTTGGTATTCGCGACTTTTGATTTAGGCTGTTTATTACGGAAAAAGTTATACAATGCATCAGTGTTTGAGATGTAACATTGCATTCAAAAATTGGATTTTGATAGTTACAATCCGACTGCTCAAACGCTAATACATCTTATATGCTGGTGCATTTCAATGCAATGCACCAATGTAGAAAAAAAAAGCAGTTTTATAATCCCAAATGTATAGAGTTATGTGATACCTTAAATACAAGTTGTTGATAAAAACGTAGCCCTTCATTAGCTCAATTGGTTAGGGGAGGTAGTGTAAGGATATAGACAGTGGCTAGGATTGTGCCATTTGTCACAAGATTGTAAGCCTTAGTTAGTTTGTTAGAGAGTGTGTTCTCTATATAAATACATCATTGTAATAGCTTGAAGTTAAGAAAACCAATATAACAGTTCTGCAGTTTCTCTTTCTAAAACCTTTCTCTCTCTAGTTCTTGAAATTCTTATCTTTTCACTCGATCTCTCCTTTCTACATTAACATGGTATCAATCGCCATTGTTGCTCATGCTGCTTTTTCCGATCCTTCGGCTGCTTCCGCTCAACTTCTCGATCTTTGATTCTTTCTGTTTCTTGACAACAGTACATTGTTGCGTTCTTGGACGAATTCTGGTATTTTCTTCCTCTGTGATTTCTAAGGTTTCCGAATTTCTTGATCTCCTTCTTTCTGCAATTACAAGATTGTGCACACTAGGTGTTTGTGAAATCTCTTCTATCAATTTTCCATCTCAATTATGCAAATATGGTTATTTCATCTCAATTGCAAATTCTACAATCGCCTATTACTGGTCTTATATCTACAATTTCCACGTCTATGAATGTTAAGCTTGATGATTCTAATTACTTGAATTGGCAATTCCAAATGCAATTGTTACTTGAGGAACAAGGTATCATGGGATTTGTTGATGGCTCCACTCCTTGTCCATCTTGCTATATTACTTGTTCTGCTACTTCCAATGCTTCTGGTGCTGATGCTGATTATTCTTCTACTCAATCTAAGAATGAAGATTACATTGTTTGGAAGATGCACGATCGTGCCTTTATGCAGTTGATTACTGCAACTTTGTCACCTGTTGCAATTTCATGTGCTATTAGAAGCACAAGTGTCTGTGATCTTTGGACTTGGTTAAAGGAACAATTTTCTATTGTCTCTTGGACTAGTATTTTTCAGCTCAAGTCGAATCTTCAAACTATTAAGAAAGGGGCTAATTTTGTGTCTCAATATCTACAAAGAATTAAGGAAGCTCGCGATTACCTCTTTGCTGCTGGAGTTACTTTTGCAGATAAGGATATTGTTATCTTAGCACTAAATGTTCAACCTCCTAAGTTCAATACTTTTCGCAGTGCTATAAGGGGTTGTGAGAGTGTTATTTCTCTCCAAGAATTCAGGGTGCAACTTCTTGCTGAAGAATTGATTGTTGACAGCAATGTGAATTCTCAATTTATGTCTGCCATGATGGCTAATAACTCTGGTGGTTCTAAATTCTCAACATCAATTTGGTGGTGCTAATCCTGGTTTTTCAGGTCATAATTATGGGGTGGGTATCGATCTTTCAACAATAACAATAAGGGTAAAGGAAAATATAATCAGGGATATATGTATCCTAATCCTAATCCTAGACAACAGTTTCCCAATCATGGTTCACATTCAGGGGTTTTTGGACCTTCTCCATCACAATAAGTTCCTTATCAATTATGTAATCAGCTTGGCCACACTGCTCCATTTTGTCATTCAAAATAGTTGGAAATATAGGGATGCCAAATTTGTGGTAAGACAAATCATACTACCTGGTATTGTTTTTTCAATGATAAATGTCCCAACTGTGGTTGTCCACATTATCCTCAAATGTCCAGCAATGCTTATGCTCATTCCGCACCAACTTTTTCTCCTCAATCCAATATCCAAGCTATGCATACAGTATCTTCTCAGTCATCTTTAGCCACCACACCTCATCGCCAACCACAAATTTCGCTCACTAACTCGGGGGCTACAAATCATATGACTACAGTTCTCAGTAACTTGTCTTTGGCATCTCTTTATCTTTCTAATGAGAGAATGCAAACTGGCAATGGTAAAGGTTTGAAAATATCACATATTGGTAGCTCCATTATTCAAACACCTGTGCAACCATTAAAATTGAATTCAATTCTCTATGTGCCTAGACTATCTCACAACTTGTTATCAGTTCATCACATTTGCCTTGATAACAATTGTTGGTTAGTGTTTAAAGCTTATTATTTTTGGATTCAGGACAAAGCCACATGGAGGATATTGTACAAAGGACAATGTAGTAATGGACTTTACCCTATTCCATCACTTGTCAATCATTATTCACTTTATTCTCAAGGTAATTCTACAACTTCTGCATTGCTTGGACAACTTGTTACCTCTAATCTCTGGCACAGTAGGTTAGGGCACCCCTCAAATAATATTGCCTCTGTAATGCTAAATAAGTCTCATATATCTTGTACAAAGGATATTGTTCATATGCTTTGTCATAGTTTTTTAGAGGGCAAGTTCACTAAATTGCCCTTTGGATATTGTTCATATGCTTTGTCATAGTTTTTTAGAGGGCAAGTTCACTAAATTGCCCTTTCAGTCTAGTGAACACAAATCTGTAATTCCATTTGAAATTGTACATGGTGACCTTTGGGGTCCTCCATATAATTTCATTGATGGTTACAAGTACTATGTGACTCTTATTGATGAGTGTACTAGATATTGTTGGTTGTTTTCTCTTGTTAATAAATTAGATTTCTTTGAAACTTTTGTTGCCTTCCATTCGTTTGTGCAAACTCAATTCTCTGCTTGTATTACAACTTTGCAAATTGATGGTGATGGGGAATATATTAACAATAAACTTCAAACCTTTCTTCACAGTAAAAGGATTATTCACCATAAGTCTTGTTCACATACCCCAGAACAAAATGGCTTGGCTGAGAGAAAATATAGACACATTGTTGAAACCACTGTCACACTGTTACAATCTGCAAAATTACCTTCTTCTTTATGGACCTTTGCTTGCCAAGTTGCTGTCTATCTTATAAATAAAATGCCTACACCAGTTTTGAAAAATTGCTCACCATTTGAAATACTTTTTGGGACTCCTCTTGTTTTGACACATCTTAAGGTGTTGTTTTCCTCTATTGAGACCTTACATTCAGACAAAGTTACAAGCTAAAACCATAGAGTGTGTTTTTCTTAGGTATGCATCCAAATACAAAGGATTTATTTGTTTTGATGTGTTAAAGGATAGGTTCTCAATTTCTAGGCATGTAGTGTTTGATGAGTCTAGATTTCCTACACTCGTTTGTCTTTATTACCTAAGCACAAACCTATGACATCTTTTTTCTCTCAGTTATTGCCACCACTTCCAATTCCAAATATGGACAATGTCTTAGTTCAATCTCAGATAACACCACTATCACCACCACACCAAGGAGCATTCTCACCAATAGTCTTACCTCCACCAACAGACTATTTATCCACTGAGATAATATCCTCGCTATCAATTTCTTCTGCATTACCTCACATTTCACCATCACACCAGATAGTATCTCTTCTCTGTCCTTTATTGTTACTACAAGTCTTACTCCTCAACTCCTTATGGACTCTGACTTTAGTCTTGGTCTACTTCAAGTGGTTTTACCAAATGCTCCACTCAATCTGCATCATATGCAAACTAGAAGTAAGAATGGCATCATCAAGAATAAGGTGTTTTTGAGCCAAGTAGCTGAATCTAGTGCTGTTGATTCAACTTTGGTGGAACCTGCAACCTATAAATCTGCAATGAAGGTACCAGTTTGGTTTAAAGCTATACAAGAAGAGATTGATGCATTGAATAATCAACACACTTGGAGTCTTGTACATTTGCCTCTTCCCAAGAATCTTGTTGGCTGCAAATGGGTTTTCAAACTAAAAAAGAACTCAGATGGGACAGTGGCTAGGCATAAAGCTAGACTTGTTGCAAAGTGGTTTAGTCAAGAGCCTGGCTTGGATTATGGTGAAACCTTTAGTCCTGTGGTTAAACCAACCACTATGAGATTAGTTCTAACTTTGGCAGCTCACTTCAATTAGACTCTCAAACAATTGGATGTCAAGAATGTTTTTTTTTTCATGGATTGTTAAATGAAGAAGTGTATATGGCTCAACCTCCTGGTTTTGGAGATGTTGCACATCATGAATTAGTTTGCGAACTTCACAAGTCACTGTATAGGTTGAAATAGGCTCTTCGAGCCTATAATGACAGATTTACAAGCTTTTTTCCCTCTCTTGGGTTTCAATCCACATATTTTGATTCTTCTCTATTTGTTAGGGCTATTGGCAAGGATATTGGGGTGTTTTACTCTATATCGATGATATTATCATCACTGGCAATTCTACTTTAGTTATTCAACAGGTGATTCACTTTTTAACCTCTGAATTTGACATCAACGACTAGGGAGAGCTCCATTATTTTCTGGGAATTCAAGTTACCAAAACTGCCAAGGGGTTATTTTTGTCTCGATCCAAATACATTTAGGATTTGTTGCAGAAAGTTAAGATGGTGGATTGTAAGGCTTGTGACACTCCTTGTTTACCTTACAATCGGTTAATTAAAGATGATGGTACTCCTACAACAATCCAATAGTATATAGAAGTATAGTTGGAGCATTACAATATCTCACCTCCACTCGACCGGATATTGCATTCTCAGTTCATCAAGTCTACCAATTTATGCATTCTCCAATGGTGTCACATTTTCAAGTAGTTAAGAGGATTTTAAGGTATCTAAAGGGGACATTATCTGTTGGCATTTCTTATACTCAAAGAGATTTAACATTGAAGGCATTTAGTGATGCAGATTGGGCTGGTGATCCCAATGATAGGCGATCAACTACTAGTTTGGTTGTATTTTTAGGAAACAATCATATTTCTTGGTCTTCCAAGAAACAAAACACTGTTTCTCATTCATCAACAAAACTATAATATAAAGTTATGTCTACTACATCTGCTGAGATTGATTGGATTCTACAATTGCTGGAATTTATGCATGTCAAGTCTGCAGTCCACTCCTGTTCTCTTTTGTGACAATCTTTCTTCCATAGCATTGTCCTTTAATCCTGTTCAACACTAATGCACGAAGCATATTGAGATTAATGTGCACTTTGTGCGTGAAAGGGTTACTAAGAAGAAACTTTTTGTTCAGTTTGTCTCATTTCGAGAACAATTTGCAAATATCTTAACTAAGGGTTTCAGTGCTCCTCTTTTTCAGTCTCATTGTGTCAATCTCATGCTTGGATCATCGAATCATGAGTTTAAAGGGGCATGTAAGGATATAAACAGTGCCTAGGATTGTGCCACTTGTCACAAGATTGTAAGCCTTAGTTAGTTAGTTTGTTAGAAAGTGTGTTCTCTATATAAATACATCATTGTAATAGCTTGAAGGTTAAGAAAACCAATATAACAGTTCTACAGTTTCTCTCTCTAAAACCTTTCTCTCTCTCTCTCTCTCTAGTTCTTAAAAATCTAATCTTCTCTCTCGATCTCTCCCTCTCTACATGAACAGGTAGGGGGAGTTAGGATGAGGATGGGCCAAGGGGTTTGCTTCTTCCCATTTTTACTAGGAAAAAAACAAGCAATTAAAGCAAGTCTCCAAGATGAGCGAAGAAGCTTAATCTTAGTTAGGGAGGAAATTATCTCAAAGGTGACAAATTTTAAGTTGAAAAACGCTTAAATGTAAATTATATGTGGATAAATTAGGTAATCCAATAATTTCATATGTGCCACCGGTTCTTTAGATTGCGAAGATATATACTCTATGTAACTTGCTATTTATTATCAAACAATCAATTAAGAACTATTTATCAAATGAGTACAGATCATGTCTAAATGTATGATTCTAGTTGAGTTTAATAATTGTCCGACAACATTTGATCACTTAACCATAATTCTTTTTGCTTTTTCCAGTCCATTTTAATGTAGGCATCACATCATCAGATATAAAGATTATTCCATTAATTAGTTACACATTTTGAACATCTGCAACGTAATATTTAAATTGTACATACTTTTGTACAGCAAGAAAACTCACTGATTGACACTTAATAACTAGAAATATGAACCTCTCTAAACCCTCATTGACTCTTAGTCCTCCATGGTGCAAGAGAAATTGCAGTTGTAGTACAAAATTACTAATTGGAATAAATGCGGCTTTTATAATTAAACAGGAAGGCTTGTTGCTGGGTTCTGGTTCAACATGCATATGTAATATTGTCAGCAGTGCTTTGTATTCATTTCATGGTGTGAATTCTTGGAAGTAATGTTACAATTAATGTATCTTCAAACTCTGTATCATCTCATAAAAATGATGACCTTTCTGCACTATATCTAGAAAGAAAATGTAAAAACAAGAAGTCAAGTTGAAAAGTTTTCACGATATTGTTTGCCATGAACCATTTGAGACAATGCGCGGGCACACGCACACATACATACGACAAAAATTATCCATACCCACAAATTGTGATGCACTTTTCAATAGAAAAAATGGATGTCTATTAGACTAAGTCTTGATGACCGTATGATTTGTAGAAAGAAAAACAACGGAAATATCTAAAATGAATGGAGGAACCCACAATGAACTGGCATGTTTAACTGACATCACACCAATAGTTTTCTAGGCATCACGCTTAGGGTTAGATTGCATTACACGAACCTGGAGAAATGAAGCTTCTTGAAAAGTTCTGTTAAATCTATCTTCATCCAAATGTGCTCTAATACAACGACTCGTGTGTCCAAATATTATGATTTTTATAATTTTAAAGCGTGAATTTACAAAAATGCCCTTTGAGGTGAAAAACGTTGACTTTTGTTGACCGCCTTGTCATGTCACGTAAGATTCGTTTCCTTGGCGTATTCTAGTAGTAATCATCATTACAAACGAATGGGATTAAGCATAATGAAATTTAGAGTTATAACAAAAGAGTTATGAACGAGCAAAGATAGGGATGAAATGGTCATTTGACCATAATCTAGAAGGCTCCAGATTTGCTAGAGCAACAATTTGGAAGCCACGTATGTGGTTGTGATGAAAAGAAAAGAAGAGAAATAAGGGGAAAAGAGGGAGAGAAGACCAATCAGGAGAAAGAAAGGTGGGATGTTGCCCAATCAGAAAAGAAAGAAAGAAGGGAAAGGAGAGAAAAGAGAGCCCAACCTTTAAGACCCCTATTCGACCCGTTTGCCCATTGCGACTCGGTTCCCTGAATCAGTTCTTGGTGCCATTTTCAGACAAGATTTCGTTGGTTTTTTTGGCAATTCGTAGCCACCCCTCCCCCCCCCCCAACCTGGAAACAACTCTACATCAACTCCTCTTCCATTTCCACCTAAATCCCACTTTGTTTAACCCCATATTCATAAAGAACGAAACCCGTTGGGTTTATAGGTGCACGGCGGCAATTCGCCGTTCTTGCAAGCACCATCGTCGACCACCACCCTTGTTCAACTCCCCTTAAGGCATGGATCAAAGCCCAAACACGTTTGGGGGCGGCGGAACGTGCAAATTCGACGAATCGAAGAACAACCATTTTAGGGTTTTCCAGCTAATCGAGGTGGTTTTTCAAGCGTTTCCCAGTCGAATTGGACTTCGTCTAGGTATGAAAGTTCTTCCCCTTAATGAGCTATACATTCCTGTAAAATTTGATAATTTTTGGAGTTGGTCAAAAAATTGGATTTCCGACCGTGGCCTTCTAGGTCACCGCCTCATGGCGGCTCATGCGGCAGCGCGTGGGGTGAACCCAAAGTCCTTCTTTAGGTTTTTCAATGTGCCAAATCCGAATTCACTATCTATTTTCCCAAATTTGACTATTTTAGTAAAGTTTTACTAAATCGTCCCTATTTGTGTTTAGGTGCGTTGGTGGGAAGTGGCACCATCCTGGCTAGTTCGAGCAACTTCTAGGCAATGGAATACTTGTGAGTGGACCCCTTCTTAACTTGCATGGTTTTTATAAAACATTAGGTTGCATTCACGAAAAGCATGATTTCTTGATTTTACATTTATGCATTATTTACGATTTATTTAAATTGCTTTTACGAAATATTTATTATTTCTCGAATTTATGTTTTACGAAAGGTTATGAATATTTGGATGTTCGTATATGAAATTCTATGGTTTTCAAATGTGATCTATTTTACGGATTTATGAATATGAACTATTATGGATTTATGAGATGAGGCTTTGAGCTTTTTAGCTCCGGTGATTGGATATGAGATTGCGAGGTATATTTTTGGTACGTATCTAGTAGGTTATCATACAACACATCCACACAACACAGGTATGTAGATGTCTATGGCTATAGGACACAGTTGAGGATAATTATGTCATACCCCCCAGCTTCACTAGCCACAGCTAGTGTCAGTGTTATGATGTTATATGTTTCTTCTCTAGCGTAATCCAGAGTTATATAGCTTCACCTTTGGGTGATGGGGTCTACCATGTTTCTTCACTAGCGTAACCCAGTGTCGTAAAGCTTCATCTTCGGGTGATGGACAGGTACTGCCTTCGGACGACTATGATACCCATAGAGAGTACAACATTGATGGGATTCAAGAAGGTTTTCCGGATTTGCCTTCGGGCGGCTATATTCATTTCTGACCATGGTTTCATACGTACCGATTTGATGAACGTTTTCATGGCATGTAGAGTTTTCAGAAAAGTACTATGTAGTATTATATATATGTGTTTTCAAAATAGGGGGTTAGTATGTTAAAAAAGAAAATGGTTTTCTTATTATTATTAGTATTATTATTATAAACTTTGGTCCACTCACCTTTTTTGTTTTTGCGCCCCCCTTAGGAATTAGAATTGAGGCATACAGTCTCGGCGTCAGGGCAATTCAACGTAAGGATCTTCGAGTCTTCTTAGGCTAAGACCCATTCTTTTATTCATACCTTTTTATAATAATTCTTCCACATTATCTTTTAGTAGTTGTATGCTCTAAACATGGTTCTGCATTCGTATATTTCTTTCTAATCACATATTTTCATTCGTATACATGTCTAAAATGGTTTCGTCACCCTCGAGTGTCAGCCAGCACATGCCTATTATGATATTTGAGGATATCGGGATCGGGGCGTGTCATCTAAGGACTGACAAAGATGTAACTTACAAAGTCTTTAACTTAATAGAAATATGAAGTAATATTTTTTTAGAAAAGTAGGAAAGTAATTTTTTTTTTTTTTTAAAAAAACAATATTATGTATCCTAAGATTGGGGAAGTAATAGAAAATTACTTCTTATTCGTATAGAAATAGGATTGGACCTGCTGTAAGGCCCATTCTTTTTCAAAACCCTAGACATGAAAAGACTAGAAAACCCTAGAATCATGACTTGCGTTCTTCATTTCGTCTCATAGGCTTAGATAATGACTTTGAAGAACAAAATAAATTATCAAAAAGAAGGGAATTATGGAGAATTTTATGAAACTCAGATTTTAAGCTTGTCACATTACTTAGAATGAGCATCTATCTCAAATTAATTGACAATAAATGAAAAAAATATTAACCACTTAATGCGAGACTTTAATGCATGATTTCCATTAAAGTCATTTGAGAGATGTCATTCGACGAACTACCATTTGAGACAAAATATTCGATTATGAGAAGCGGTAAAGAAAATTTAAAGATCAAGATAATCTCAAACACATTTATTATTTGGTGGATATTTTACTTATTTTGTTATAACAAATTCAGATAACGTTTTATTGTCAGATACGTCGAATGTTACATATATGTTCTAGATTCGTGGCACGTGACAAGTCACCAAATTGATAACTTTCTCCTTTATTGTTCAGATCGATCGTATATCAGCGATAGCTGCGAAGTATGTAGGCAAACCATTGGGAAGCTAATTCTTCTCCTTTTCGCAGTCCACTTGATCTTGTGGTGGGAGCTTTGGGGTTCAGGTCAAGCATGGCCGGTGAGATGTATGGTGCTGGAGACCCTCTCACGTCAATCAGTGCATCAAGTGAAGCAGACAAGCCAATGATGATTGAGCTTGCCGTTGCAGCTATGGATGAACTCATCAGAATGGCCCAAATGGGTGAACCATTGTGGATGACTAGCCTTGATGGCAGCACCACCGTACTCAATGAAGATGAGTACATCAGAACATTCCCTCGTGAAGTCAGGCCAAAACAAAGCGGCTTCAAAACTGAAGCTTCGCGTGAGAGTGCAGTTGTTATTATGAACCACATGAAACTTGTTGAGATTCTCATGGATGTGGTAAGCCTGCCAACTCTATTAGACATTTACATACGCCTTCATTAGTGTATTTATATCGTTGTATTGATAACACTTTTGAAGGAAAGAATCGCATGAACCCACAGTATTATTTGTGTGGATTTTGTAACGTGTAGAATCAGTGGTCGACTGTATTTTCTGGGATTGTCTCAAGAGCTCTGACCCTTGAAGTCCTATCAACTGGTGTGGCTGGAAATTACAATGGAGCGTTGCAAGTGGTATATATATTTTCCCCTCAAAGTTCAACTTCAGCTCTTCTTATTTTGTCGTTAATTGTTTAGTTTTTTGTGATACATACTTTTGTATTAAAATACTGTTTGTGGTTTGGTAGATGACGGCAGAATTTCAAGTTCCTTCACCACTTGTTCCAACTCGTGAGAGTTATTATCTGAGGTACTGCAAACAGCATGCCGATGGCACCTGGGCTGTGGTTGATGTTTCCTTGGACAACTTGCGCCCTAATCCTGCACTCAAATCTTGTCAAAGAAGGCCCTCAGGATGCCTAATTCAAGAAATGCCAAATGGGAATTCAAAGGTTTACAACACACTATATATACATATCATACATGTTTCACTTTAATGGGATATTTTAAGGCCCAATTTTTACAGGATACATTAATTTCATCTAATGATAAATTTTGCTGCCTTAGGTTACATGGGTTGAGCATGCTGATGAAGTGGATGAAAGAGGTATTCACCACCTCTACAAGCAGCTGGTTAGCTCCGGCCATGCATTTGGTGCAAAACGATGGGTTGCTACCTTGGACCGTCAATGCGAACGTCTTGCTAGTGCAATGGCTTCTGACATCCCTACTGGTGATGTTGGAGGTAATAATAATTTGGCTTGCTATTTCATTATTCATTTCTTTAATATTTATATGGCGCGAAATTTTACATGAGACTATTATGTTGCGTCATCCTATTGACTAACAGGATAGCCCATTAAAAGATTGGTCATATACCGTTAATGCATGTCCGTTAGTTAATTAAGCCTAATTCTTTTCGATAAAAATTATATAACTGTTATTGGTTATATTTGTTAAATTCCTGGTTAATAAGTGATCACAAATCAAGAAAGGAGAAAAAGCGTCCTGAAATGGGCTGAAAGAATGGTGATTAGCTTCTGTGCTGGATTGAGTGCATCGACCACACACACATGGACCACAATGTCCGGAATAGGGGTTGATGACGTCCGGCTGATGACCCGAAAATGTGTGGATGATCTCGGAAGGCCTGCAGGTATTGTGCTCAGAGCCGCGGCATCTTTCTGTCTTCCAGTACCTCCCAAAAGAGTCTTTGAGTTTCTCCGCAATGAGAAGTCTCGCAGCGAGGTACATACACTTGAACTAATCTTAAAGCTGAATTAATAGTCATCTGATTCTTAGAATAAATTTACCAAATCTATTACATGAACCAAATTAATGCACATATATTTTGCAGAAGCGTGAGATCATATTTCTATTTATAAGCAAGTATTTTAATGCGTGTATCTCAGAAAAATGTAACAAACAAGTACACTGAACCATTACTAAAACATACCATAAACGGACAACAGATGCATGGATAGAAACAATTTCCACATTAAGTAACTTGGATGGAAAAGGAAAAGTACATACTTTCACATCCTACCTAATACAGAAACAAATACTAGAGAAAATCTAGGTTTCTTTTGTGTCAACCACAGAAAAAAAAAAAGATCATCAAGATAGAAGGTTATGTATTTTACAAATAATCAGAAGCTAGATATAGAAAGCTGATCAGCATCTGCTAAACTGGAAACACAGTTATTCTCCTTAAATTGTTCCAGTTGTAATTGTTATGATCACTACTTGTGCTTGCAGTGGGATATTCTTTCTTATGCGGGAATTTTTCAAGAGATTGGGCACATTGCTAATGGTCGTGACACTGGAAATTGCGTGTCTCTACTACTAGTAAATGTAGTTTTATCTTTTATATTATGTTTTTTTTTCTCTAATCAACTACATGTATCTCTCTTCACATCACTAATTACAAGGTAACATAAAATTTATTTGTAGAGTGCCAATTCAAGCAAGAGCAACATGCTGATACTGCAAGAGAGCTGCACTGACCCAACAGCTTCCTTTGTAATTTATGCACCAGTTGACATTGTTCACATGAAAGCCGTGCTGAATGGGAGTGACCCTGACCATGTTCCCCTTCTTCCTTCTGGGTTTGCGATACTCCCCGACGGAGCCGGCATAGGAGACTCTTCCTCTGGTGGTAGTTCACTTCTCACTGTTGCTTTTCAGCTCTTGATTGATTCAGACCCAACTGCTAAGCTGTCTCTTGGGTCGTCGGTCACAGCGGCTAACGATCTTATTGATTGCACTGTTGAGAAGATAAAAGCTGCGTTCTCATGCGACAGTGCATGAACTGCATAACTCAGTTAGTTACTTTCTAGGTAAGCTAATTATACATGTCACATATTACAAATTAATTACGTGTCACATATTTGATGATCGTTTGCCTTTACTTTGTTGCAGTATTTTGAGGACGAGGAAGGAAGGTGAAAGGAGAGAAACATAGATGGTGTTAAGGGATTTCGGCAGCTTATACCCCTGAGGGGAGAAGTGAAAAGCGCTTAAGACCTTTCCTTTATTTTTATTTTTTTGGATTGAATAACTTTCTCATTATTCACCTTGTACACAGTAATTGATATTGCTAGTATTTGGATTGAACTTTCTCATTTCTCATTTATAAAGAGATTAAGTGTTCTTGTTTTTTAATGGATATTGCTTTTCTTTATTGTCAATCACTCTTGGTTTCTATTTTGCAAAAGATTTCTTTTGCAAAATAATGGAATGTGGATAGTTTGCCACTGTGTTGGTATTGCATGGCTTTTGATTTGAGCTATTTATTATGAGAAAATTTTGACATGAGATGATGAGAGGGGGAGGAGCGAGAGAGAGAGAGGAGAGGGATGGGGGTTGGGAGACGAAGCGAGAGAGAGGAGAGAATGAAGTATCGTGATGCCTTCATTAGTTTGTCGCTTTCTTTCTTTGGGAAACGTTTAATTGTTCCGCCTTTGAACAAACATCTCAAAATGATGGAATTGACGTTTTTGGCCGGAAAGGCGTCACTGATGTCTTCGATCGGGCGCCGGCATGGATGACCAGTTTAATTTTAGTAGTGCCGGATGTGAGATTATGACATCATTCCAACAAATAGTAGGTCAATTTAGGTAAAGAAATGGAAGGAGAAATTGAACATATAGTGAACTTCCTCTTTTGTTTAGGTAAGAAATGAAAGGAGAAATTTAGCAGAGTAGTCAAATACAAACCGAAACCAAATCATCTTGAACTGATAAGATCCAAATCTCTAAGCCCTTAATCAACCTGCAAGTAACACAGAGGCTAGAGAGGAAGAGAGAGAGAGAGAGCAGAGCTCCTGAAAACAAATTCTGATCTCATTACAAACCAAAGAGCAAGTGCTCTTATACACGAAGAGTGACTACTGCCAGTTGGCACTTCTAACAAATAACATGTAAAACCCTCAATTACAACTAACTTGACTCTTAATTTGTGATTAAGATAATCACAATCCTAAGTTCATAACATGAACGAAAGATTTCCATGTAACTCTCTGGTTTCATATACTGTAGATGACATCAATTGCCAAAATCTTCCGATCAATCATCATAAGAGTTTGAATGATATTGATCACTCTCACAATGACTACAAAATCTGGATCAGTTTTGTATCTCAAGCCTTCTTTTTCCTTCCCAATGTCGGTCTCTTGCCAATGGTTGAAGTAGTCTTGCGGGATGCTGGCAGAAGCCCCCGCAGTACGGCCAAAACAGCTAACCCAAGAAAAGGGAAGTAAAAATATATCAGCATATCAGACGCCTTGCCGGACTGAACCAGCTCCGATAATTCAGTAATCTGAAATTTTCACAAAACCAGAATCTGTTATAAGAAAGTAAGGTTGAAGAAAGGGGTTGACATTGACACTTGACAATCCGATATGAAATAGAAGTTCAATATTACGGACTTTCATTGGTGCAAATCCAGAAGAACTCCACCTCTCAATCTCATATAACCCAATTACGATTCAATTGCTTATCTGGTGACTGCAGTGGCGTTTCGTTTCACATCCAATGCATGCATAGATCAGGATGCCAAATGCATCATCACAGTAACACGTTATATTCGAGCTTGGTAGAATTTGATCGAAAGATAACAAACACATGTTCAAATATCATACTTTGAGAATTCTGTAAGCGGATTGATTTCTGTCACGAACTTTGTAATTGTATAGTCTAATAACAAGATCTAAGCAAACCAAATGAAAACGTGAAAAAGAAAAGAGATGTAGCAAACACAAGTTGTAAAATCAAACAAAACAATCAAATTGGCTATAAATTATAACGTGAATAAAGACACAAGGAAGAAAACTTTACAATGGAGCCGAAGAAAGAAACTCCATAGATCAAGCAGGTGGTGTTGAACCAAGACTTGGCGGCCAAAATTCCGTACAAGTTGGCCAGCGCAAGAGGCCACTGAAGGAGTAGCTGCAGCCAAACGAGGCCAACAAAGAAATGAGGTTTCTCGGTCACAAGATAATGGCCTAAGATGCGCACGTATAACCAGCTCTGGAGTTCAACCAGCCAGTCTGGGAAGAGGCACCGAGGCAGAATTATCTGCGAGTCGAGCAAGGGCGCTGCCACCGCAATTACGATGAAGAAGACGATGAGTGTGGCATCTACAAGCTTCAACAAAGCACCCATTTTGGTTTTTGAGGGTAGATAGCTTTTTCTTTGAAACTCTTCAACCTTTCTTATGGTGAACCCTTCAACCTTTGGTTGGTGTGGTTTAGAAGGAAATAAGCAAAGAGATGAGAAGCAATCAATGTCAACTTTATCTTATTCGAAAGAAATCAGAGATAAGATTTATATGATCTGTATATAGATAGGGTACAAGTTACAACAACAATCAACTAATTTTTTAATGGCACTGTACATCTGCTACAGAAACCAGATTTCTCCCAAAGTACACAGCAACTTACAACTCGTAGAAATAAATGTGCGTGGGGTAGAGAAGCTATAAGGACTTGGCTACGGTACATGCATTTACTTAATGCATTCACCATCTAACGGTTAGATTGGTCAGAAATTATAATCTCTCTTTTCGAAAATATAGGAAGAGAAGAGATTCAGGACCCAAAGAAAAAGCTAAAACACAGCAATTTGTGAGGAACTTCCATCTTTTTTTTCTAAGTAATTAACAAGAGAAGAAAGGAGAAATTCAGCAAAATATTGAAATACAAAGTATACAAAACTGGAGAATAGCTACAACGTTAAAAGACGATATGCAATTAACCGAACCAAGTAATAGTGAATCCAATTGCTAAAATCTTCCAATCTTGCATAAGAAGGATTTCATTTGTTACATTGCTAAAATCTTCCAATTTGTTGCATAACCAGCAACTGAAAGGGGACAAACATGAAACTCTCACAATAACAATAACTCGCAAAATCTAAGTCAGGCAGTTGTCTTTCAGGCCTTCTTTTTCCTACCCAATGTAGGTCTCTTGCCAATCCTTGAAGTAGTCGTGCTGGATTGCGGCAGCAGCCCCCGCAACATGGCCAAAACACCTAATCCCAAAAAAGGGGAGTACACATATAACAGCTTATCAGAAGCCTTGCCGGACTGAACAAGCTCTGATAGTATTGTAACCTGAAATTTTGACAAAACCAAAATCTGTTAAGAAAGAAAAAAGTTGAAGACGGGTGGTTGACAATGCAATATGGAATAGTTCAACATGACAGACTATGTATGTGCTGCCGAATCCAGAAAAACTCCACCTCCAATAACCCAATTAGAATTCTCACCACCATTACGTAATAATTATGAGAGTGTTTATGGGTAATGATAAACAGTTTAACACTAACCATGTGACCTTAAGACATTGCTTCGCCTATAATGGTGTTTCGTTTCCAATCCAATTTATGCTTAAAATGAGGAAGCGAAATCCATCAGTAGAGTAAATATGTTAGAATTTGATCGATGCTAATAGTTTTCGGAACTCTCTTATCTGGCTAATTCTTCATGCAATTTGTAATCTTTAAGTTACATAACATCATTCAAACAAGTTTCGCTTCATTTTCTATCTTGTACATTTTAACATCTTTGACTTATTAAACCACCCTCGGATTGGATACTATAATTAATCCATGTTAAATCCTATAAAAGTTACAAACTTGGAAGATAATTAACAAGAAAATATATAATTAACCAATTGAAAACTACAAAAAAATAAGGGATCCAGTAAAACCCAAGATCTAATACCAAACAAATCACCAATTTGCTATAATTTATAACGTTATTAAAAGAAAAGAAAGAAGAAAACGTTACCATGGAGGTAAATACCGAAGCGCCATAGATCAAACAGGTGGTGTTCAACCAAGACTTGGCGGCCAGAATTCCGTACAAGTTGGCAACCGCCAGAGGCCATTGGAAGAGCAGCTCAACCCAAACGATCCCAACAAAGAAATGAGGCTTCTGGCTCACCAGATAATCTCCATAGGTGCGCGCGTACCAGCTCTTGAGCTCCACCAACACCTCCGGGAAGAAGCTCTGCGGCAGACATGTCTGCCCGTCGATAAACGGCGCAGCCACCGCAATCACGACGAAGAATACGAAGAGAGTGGCGTCTACGAGTTTCAACAGAGCACCCATTTGGAATTTTCAGGGTGGATAGCTTTGCTTTCCTTCAATGGATCTCTCTGGTTTGCTCCGTGAAACTTTGGTTTTGTTTGTGTAGTCAAATTTCCTGATCTGAACGACGTGTCGTTTCCTAATATTTTTGGAACATATTCAGACGCCAAGTCGTTTTATTGTTTTTTTTCCTTATCAACAAGGCAACAAGACTATATTCCTATTCTTTGCATCCCCAACTTGGATGTAGATTTCAGTTACCTTGGCTTGCAAGAAATGTAAGATTGATGGATTGATTGTCCTTCGACACAATTGTACTAAAGGAGGGTGATTTCGAACTCATAAAAGTAAACACTCACGTCAAATTTTCTTATTTTAAAGAAAAATTAAAAGTTATTGTAAATAAAAAGTTCGTTTTCTTAGCTATTTCAAAGAAAGCACCCAAAGTTAAGCAGGAATAGAATTTCTTTTTATACCTAGGAATAAATTACATTCCGAAAGCACCCAAAGTTAGGCAGGAATAGGATTTCTCTCTTTTTTTTCTTTTTTTTTTTTTTTTTTGAGTACATCAATATTTTACACTAAGGGGATGGGGAGTTCGGCCAAGTCACACAATGAAAAGCCTAATTTGGTATCGAATTTGCCATCCAAGAGATTTGAATCTAAAACCTCTCACTTTCAAATGAAGAGAAATACCACCAAACCGTAGTCCTGAATAGCAGGAATATGATTTCTTTTTATACCTAGGAGTAAATTACATTCCAAATTATCTGGGGAAACTTGTTAAACTACAAATTACGAGGGAAAAAAAAAACAAATAAAGAGTTCTTCTTTTCTCACCCCCCCTATAGGTTTAGCACCCTAACTCTTAGGTTTACCCTCTAAATCAAGATAACTAATACTTTCTTCCATATTTGTGCCACATGTATAAAGAACTAACTATGATTAGTCTATATTCTTAATATTTTTTATGGAAAAGAAAAAACTAAATTAATGAAGAAAAAAATTTACCATCTATTCTCTCTATAATATCTCGTCATAAATTGTTGATCGACACTAATACCCCCTTTCACCTCCCACTTTTCAGGCGTAGAAGTAGCAACAACTCCTAAAAGAAAAGCCTTTAATTATCATACGCCTCCAAGAAAGGGTGTATATGATTCTTTTAAGTGAATGAGGTTCCCCATATTACTCATTCGATCCGGAAGTTGCCTACAAGAAAGACTGTATATCAACCAAACTAACATTTCTTTGGTTAATTCTTCTTTCGATTTTCCTGTACTACAGTTTTTACTTTTTATTTTGATATGTCGTGGCCGAATTGGTAGGACGGGAAAGGGTGTATTAATGCCAATCAATTGTTTGATGAGGATTAGAGAGAATAAATGGTGGTAAGGTTTTTTGCTTAATTAGTTTGATTGTTTTTCTTTTACACAATAAATAATTAAATAGTTTAGACTAACTATACTTACATTTTTTAACATGTGACGCAAATCTGGATCGAAAATAATGATTATCTTGAGTTAGGGAGTGAGCAAATTAAAACGAACTCAAAATTTAAAATGAAAAAAAAAAAAAAGAATAAAACTAATTAAAAGAAATATAAAGCAATTGGGAATCCTTATTTAATAAGAACTCCGCTTTTGATTTTCATAATACAAAAAGGAAAAAGAGAGGGCTTATAAAACCACCCGCTTCTCAACCTTGTTTATGTCCGCGAAGTAGAAGTTGAAACTTCCTGTCAAATCCCACAACAGAACTGGTGATGCCGATACGCGACGTCAAGACCCTCAACCCTATGAAATCCCACTCCGCCACGAAGCTCTCTGCCGATGCGAAAGCATTCTTTCCAGGAAAAACAAGCAGCCGTGATAAACAAAACCCTAATCGTTCAGCTCTTTTTCCTCCACCCTTGCCCTACCACCAACAACACTATATTCCTCCTCCTATGTTTTATCACCGTACATCATGTCCTACACCGGTCAATCCGCAACTGCAGTGTGTTCAGTTTCCTCCGTTTTACTATGTTCCTCCTAATCCCGAGATCATGATTGACCAAGGCCTTACGGTTAATCCATGGGCTCCATTACCGCCACAAGATTTACTGGTTTTGAGAAGTAATATCGTTAGGCAAATAGAGTATTACTTCAGTGATAAAAATCTAAAGAAGGATCATTACCTGATTTCGATTATGGATGACCAGGGATGGGTTTCGATATCCACTATCGCTGAATTTAAGAGACTCAAGAATATGTGCACCGACATACCGTTTATCCTTGATTCGTTGTTGTTGGGCTCGACCAGTGTGGAAGTGCAGGGTTACAAGATACGGCCACGGGACAATTGGTTGAAGTGGATTCCGGCTCATGCAGACTCTACCGTAACATCAAAACAGCATATTCAGCCGGAGCAACTTAGGTCTGCCAATAATCGTGATAAAATTGTTGACGCTTCATCTGATGGAAAATACTCAACGGATCTCTTGCTATCTAGCACTGGACATGGAACTGCAGATAGTGTTCTTGACGGTGGATCTCTTGTGTTTACTGCTGATAATTGAGTTGGCCCATAGATTGGCAATGGGGTTACTCATAGAATATTGGTTCGGTTTTCTCTGTCTACGTCTCATGATTTGGTTTGCTTGGAAGAACCTGCTGACGCAATTTTCAATATTTTGTTAGGACGATAGATGATAATGTTTCATATTTTAGTGTGTGGTACATATTTTCCTTCGATTGGATGAAATTCCCGACAAGGTTTTTTTTGAGGCCCACACTTCTATCCTCTTGTAAGGTTCCTTTAAAATATTTACATAAATGAATAATTGCATAACGTACTCTTTTAGATAAAAGTATTCTTCTGTTGATTTTCAGATTGTGGCCTTTTCGAAAGAAAATCCTCCGTGACAATTGGTATACGGAGGATCAATTCAATCTGGATGTGCTTAGGAACTTAGCATGAGATGAGAGATACGTAAATCGACATCCGTGGAAAATAAATACTGTAGTAACTTATGTTTATCTTTCCTTTCCTTCAAATTCTGATATGTTACTAAGAGTTTATTGATAAATCCAATTAGCAACAACTTTCAATCATTCATAACAAGAGTTTATTGATAAATTGAGAACATGGACACATAATTGACATATATGAACTATCAAAATAATGATAAATTGCAAAATGTGTCTGCAAGTTCAGTTGTACGTCAAGCCTTCTTTTTCCTACCCAATGTAGGTCTCTTGCCAATCCTCGAAGTAGTTGTGTTGGATGGCAGCAGCAGCCCTCGTACTGTGGCCAAAATGCCTAAGCCTAGAAAAGGGAAATACATATATAGGAGGTCATCTGAAGCCTTGCCGGACTGAAGCAGTTCCGATAATATAGTAACCTGAAGTTTTCAGAAAAGGAAGACATCTTAAGAAAAAAAAAAGTTGAAGAAAACGAAGGATATACAATCCAACATGAAATAGAATTCAATGTGATCACTAGACTTTGTAAATTGTAATTAAATGGTGCAGAAACAGGAAGAAGAAACACCCTCCCCATCATCCAGTTATAATTCTCCTCACCCATCACCATTAGATATAATTAGGTGAGTTTTTACCGAGTTAACTGGAATGACTAAAATTCAACATGTGAGCCTAAGACACTACTTTCACCTTCAATGGTGTGTATCGTTTCTAATTCAATGCATGCCTAAAACGAGGGTTACAAAATAAAATGTGGTAATATGCATGTATGCTGCAGATTTATGAGGAATTCCCAACTTTACAACCAAATTCGATAATCTACTAGTTGAATCAACAGAGTGCGATGTCAGGATTTTATACCACTTTGGTTTAGAGTTATAGGTTTAACCGATGCTAAGAATAGATAACATAAGTAAAATAGTTTTCAGAAGTCTATTTAGCTAGCTAGCTAATTTTTTTTAAGCACCCACTTCCTCAACATCTTTCACTTGATTACTTTCTCCTTTCTTCATTTTAGTGGGCCCGCCATGAAATTTGATCGACCACTTTAAACTTCCCAAAGAAAATCAACATGACTCGTACATCCAACCTTATTTGATATCACAATCATTCTGTCTTAAATCCTTAACTATAACTAAAGGTTACTCATGTGGAACCCTTTTTTCTTTTCTAAAAGAACATTTAAAAAACAAACTATAAAGTTAGGGACTTGTAGAGCAACGGGTTAAGAGCAGACCATGTCCTCGATTCTTCACTCATATCGCTTGTATAAAAACCGAAACTACTATAACATTACCAATGGAAAACAAGAGAAGGGAATCTAAAAAACCCAAATTGTGTAAAAAAAAACCATAGTTCTAGCTAGAATCAATAACAACAACAAATTGGCTATCAAGTTATGATGTTATTAAAGAACAATAAAACGAAAACTTTACCATGGAAGTGAAGACCGAAACGCCATAGATCAAGCAGGTGGTGTGGAACCAAGACTTGGCGGCCAATATTCCGTACAAGTTGGCAAGCGCGAGAGGCCATTGAAAAAGCAGCTCGAACCAAATGATCCCAACGACGAAATAAGGCTTCTGGGTCATCAGATAATCGCCATAGCTGCGCGCGTACCAGTTCTTGAGATCAATCAATGCGTCCGGGAAGAGGCTCTTGGGCAGACATATCTGCGCGTCGATTAACGGTGCTGCCACCGCGATCACGACGAAGAAGACGAACAGAGTGACGTCCACAAGCTTTGCCAAAGCACCCATTTTACTTTTGGAGTAACAGAATTACAGATTCATTCGTTTCTTCCTGATCCTAACGACGTGTAATTTCTTAATAGATATGTTTGTTGCACTGACACGCGCTCAATCGTATTTTTCGTAGTGATTTGTTTTATTGTGAGGAAAATCTAAAGACTGAGGGGGATATAGCTCAGACGGTAGAGCAAGCCGATCGATGCCCCGTATCTGCATATTTTCATTTTTTTTTCTTCCTCTAAATAAAAGATTTCATGACTGACTAACCTATGTGTAATAATTATTCATAACCCTTCTAACTTTATAATTCCCTTTCTTTTTTTATACAAGTGATGATGAAAAAAAGGAAAATCGAACCTTAAGTAATCGAGTGCATGCATGCATAAATATTTTTAACCTGCTTGAGTTATACAAATTCTTGCTCATTTTTTAGTACATGTCAAACATGATAATCTTTTTTTTGTTTTGTGTTTTAAAATAAAAAAAGTACAGAAAGATGCGTTAATGGCTTGTTTTGGAATTTTCAGATTATGCCTATTTGACATGTACTTTTTTTTATTAGAACTTAGGTATACTCTTTGTAAAAAAATGTATTCGAAATACGGTACTTTATTGGAGAAAATCAGATAAAAAATTCAGAATTTCTAAATTCCTAATTACATTCCAATTTACATCCAAGCTTTTCAGAATATTAAAATTTTGGGATTTCAAATTCGAAATAGAAATTCTCGTACCGAAACTGGAATCTCAATTTCTTATCCAAGTGGACCTTCCAATAGTGCAGTGAGGAGTCCAAAACACTGCAGCCCATAACATTGTCTTCTTTTATCAACTCTTTCACATAAAGGAGTTCATATAAAAAATTAATAAAATCAGGTTCTCACTTCGTGTAAAAGAACAGCAAAAAGAAATGATGAAATAAAAGATTTGAGTTCTAGTTAATTTTCATATCCTTTGTTTACTATGGCTGAAATAGTGGTGGCGGAGGGTGGCAGCAGCCCACGCAGAATGGTGAGGACACTTAAAACAATTATCACAATTTAGCTGACTAATTAGGGTATTCTAGGCAACTTGTGATGAGCATGTGAGTGCATGAGGTTAAAATTCTGCATCGTTGATCATACCAACTCATTGTTGGAGTAGAGAATCTCACAATGGTCATATGAAAAAATAATATACGATTACTATATGGAGTTTTCACTTCTAACATCATTGAAATCTTTTGTGATAAAATTCAACACTTAGCAATAAGTAGTTAAGTTGAGACAATATCGGTGATATTAATGGTTGACTATGCTGGGCCTATAAAGTTTATCCCTCATATGCATCAAATCGATCAAATCAAACTCTAAAGTTAAATGAGTTTTGGCAAGACTAGTCCTAGGACGGGGATTATTTCCTAAGAAGCCCCCATTTGCATGCTTTTCGTGACTTCGTTTGTTTCTTCTTCCCTGAGGGGTATGCATTTTAACTTACGGCCACCAAAAAATTCCCAAATAAACACCAACAGCATGATTGACATGCTATTAGTTCATAACAATTCTTTCTCATAAATACATTAGAATTTAAGGTACATAGATGTAACAGAATCTGAGTCTAAGTACGACTAAAAGACGTAAATTTTGATAAAGAATCTGAGTTCTAAGTTACTTTCCGATACTTTGGTTGGCCGGTGCTTTTTGTTGTTCTTTTGTCACTGGTCGAAGTACTGGCGTTAGACGGAGGGAGCAACCCGCGCAGTATGGCCAGGACGGCAAAGCCCACAGCAGGGTAGTACAACATCAACATTGTATTAGATGCCTTGCCGGACCATAACAGCTCTGGTAAAATAGCGCCCTGCAATTTTCACCAAGGCAGAGAATATGCAACAAGTTGAAAGAAACGAAGGAATCTTTTATAAACATCGCTCCATACATGTGAAATAAAAAAATAAAAAAAATAAAAAAAAAACTAATTTTCAGAATTGCCTTAGTTCTAATTCTAGGAGAAGTTCCAAAAACAGTGTCTTTGTGACTCTCACACGGTCACACTTAATTAACTAACGCCTCATACTCATGAGAAACTTTTTGAGTGTGAGAACTACACTGAAAAATCACTTTGTACTTAACACCTCCATCAAAACCAGTCTAACTAAATCTTAACAAGAAATTGAACAGTGTAGAAACAGGCAATTAAAACACATTAATCATAGTGACAAATCCATTTAAATTGTGAGGTTGCCGTGTAAATATGATATACTTAATCGACTTAAATTATCAAAATCTTGGAGGTTTCAACATGGTTTGTTTATATGTATTATTTGGACTAGTTTGAAGAAGCAAATAATCAGCACCCAGGTGAAGAATCAGTATGTTTACAAAATTTAAATTAAATAAGGAAAAAAATAAGATTGTTTTTGAAGAAGGTGATTTTATTTTTATCGAACTTTAATTGATGTTAGAATAGATTTTAATTTTGATCAGTAGCCAGGTACATCATTCTATGTACAGAATACGTAACTGCGTGTATAATCATAATAAAGTAGCTAACTGAATTCTCAAAAATTAAATTTTAATCTAACATTGGAGCTTGTTAGAAATGACAGAGAAGGATTATACCATGGTGGTGAAGAAAGAGGCGCCATAGAGCAAGCAAGTGGTTCTGTACCAAGGCTTAGCTGCCAAAATCCCATACAAGTTGGCAACGAGAAGGGGCCACTGCAGTAGGAGCTCAACCCAAACGAGACCAACGAAGAAATGAGGCTTCTCTTCACCAAGATAATCGTCGAACTCCCTGACATACCAGTTCTTGAGCTCCACCAGCGAGCTTGGGAAGAGGCTTTGAGGTAGACACAACTGCACGTCTATTAGCACCGCGTTCACCGCCACTATGGCGAACATTACGAAGAGTATGGCGTCGATTATCTTCACAAAAACACCCATTTTAGGTTTTGATTTGCTCGATTTGCTCTCTTTCTCAGCTTGTTTAGTGTGGTGGTATTGAACCAATGCTTAGCAGGCAAAAATGAATCTTGAAGATATTTGTAGGGGCCTACTGGCACACCATCTTTGAAGTCTACTCTCATTAATATTATATAATTTTAGAGATTGCCATTTTTTTTAAATAATCCATCAGTAACATGCATGTTAACTACTTCAGCAATTTCTTATTGTTAGACAATTTGATACATAGTATCCAGAATTTTTCTTTATTTGGTAAAAAAAGTTAGGGAGAGGAAGGCTACTCCATTTTAGGATTAAGGCTTACTATATAAGTATTTTTGAAGATTTATAGACAGGGTTTTAGTCACTTTTTTTGTTTTTACATATCGCCCGCATCAAGAGAGATTGTCAACAGCGGGACACGAATTTAAACCTTAGTCTAGCAAATGTAACAAAAATTTGATTATAAGGAAATAATATTCAAAGGTAATATCTTGATTAGTACATATAGTAAGACAACCTCAAGAACCAATTAGCTTTTGGTTTAGCGATTGTTATCTTCATTTGGAGGAAGTCTCAATTTAACTTTAGTTGACTTATTGCTAACATATGTGATTTATGTATATTAGGACATTATATATTTGCGATGAGCCTTATACATATATACCTGGTTGTCACTAATGATTGCATAACTTATATATTTCCATTGTGTGGAAAAATAATATTTAAGTAGAAAAATAAATCATACCAGAATATTTTCCTTTGATTTTACCCTTAGACTGGATAACAAATAAATTTGTGTTATGATTCATAAGGCAGATATTATATAGTTAGACAAGATTCTTCATTGGAAGACAGAACAGTTCCAGGTCCCAATTATAACAGCCTATAACATCAACATAGCAGAATTGCAAAAAAATTATAAAGTTTACAGGAAAAAAAAGAAGAAGAAGAAAGGATAAAAGATTTGAGTTCTAAATTATTTTCTTTGCTGGGGTGGTTCTTTTGGTTGTTCCTTCGCCGTTGGTGGAAGTAGTGGTGGCGGGCGGTGGGAGCAGCCCGCGCAGTATGGTGAGCACAGCAAACCCCATAGCAGGGTAGTACAAAATCAACATTTTATTAGATGCCTTGCCGGACCATAATAAGTAACAATTCCGGTAATAAATTGCCCTGCGATTTTCAGCATGCCAGAAAATATTTAACAAGTTGAAGAAACTAAGGAATATTTTGCAATTATCAGCTCATACAAGTTAAAAAAATTAACTTTTAAAGTTCCTTTATTAGTCAGCTCCAATTCTAGGAGTTCAAGAAAAAAAAAAGGCCAGATAAGCCCCATTTGCTCTCTCCATCTTTTTCATCTATTTCAACCACATTTACTGAGCACATTATTAATTATTTCTCTAATACAAGTGTGTTTTAGGGTTCGTAAATGTGGTCATAGAACTACAAATAGCATTATTCAAATGTAAAAAAATAAAAAATAAAAAAACTCTTTTTACCATGTGTGTATTCTTTGTGGCTTGTTTCATAACTTACGAACAAAAAATGTCAATACACGCTTGACAAACATTTTTCATCCAGAATTTGGAGGGGGTGGACCATGGATGGTGATGTGAGAGAGTGTAGGGTTATTACATGGAGTAGTGGTGGGCCTCAGGTATGTGAATTTTATTGTGTCTCGGCCGCACAAACACGTGTCCAGATACCAAACCCATAATTTTTCCTCACACTCAGCACCCTTAACGATCAAAACCAATCTAACTCTCAACAAAGAAAGTAGAGAAGCAGGTAGCTAAACTAGCTAGAATAATGTACTCTCACTCGAATTTCCTTCCGTATAATTTAGATTAATTTAGTTTAGACTGCCTTGCTAAGAAAACAAAATCTCAACCAACCAAGAAATGAGAGAGGAATGTTACCATAGTTGTGAGGAAAGAGGCGCCAAGCAGGAGGTTTTGTACCAAGGCTTAGCAAAGCAAATCCCATACGAGTTGGCAACCATAAGAGGCCACTGGAATGTAAGCTCAACCCAGATGATGCCAATCAAGAAATGAGACTTCTCCGCGACGAGATTATCATCAAACTCGCGGATATACCAGCTCTTGAGCTCCACCAGCGAATTTGAGTAGAGGCTCTGAGGCAGACACAACTGTGTATCTATCAACGCAGCTAACACGGCCGCGATTTTCAGAAAAGTACCCTTTGTTTTTCTCGATCTCTTTCTCAGTTTTGATATTGCTAACTAGATTCAAAAATATACTTTCATAGGCACTAAGGCACAAGGCACTATCTTTGAACCTTGAAGCTAATTAGGCAAAGTCTACTGCCACTAATTAAATATTAATCTTCATTTGGTCATTGTTTAATATCCACTAACCAACGTCCATGCTTCAGAATCAGAAATGAATTCTTATTAAACAATTTGATAGGCAAAGAACCACCATGATTGATACAATAATGTACCAAACTGTTTGACAAAAGAACATTACTTCACAGAGTCGTACCAAGAATAATTGGGCAAATTACCATTCTACAAAAAACCAGTACATTTTGTTCTTGAAATATATTAATTTCCTCCATACAATATAAAGTCTTAACTAGGCACAACGCAAATGGCAATCACAATGATGAATTAATACAAATTACTCTGAGGATGAGATCGATTTGCGTTTACAAAATTTGGGTTGAAGTTGAAGCGCGAGTCTTTTTCTCGATTAAACTTTCTTCTTCCTACCTGAAGCAGGTCTTTTGCCAATGGTTGCAGTATGATTGGTTGATGAGTTGGGTAGCAGCCCACGCAGTATGGCTAAAACACCCAAACTCAAGAAACAGTAGTACACCGTCAGTAGCTTATCAGGTGCCCTTCCTGACCATGTCAATTCTGCAAATATTGGCACCTGCATGAAAAATTAAGGGCGTAAAAACATTTTAGAAGAAGATAAACGATAAACGATAATGATTAATGAAAAATTAATGGACGTGATTGCGATTTATATCTATTACATGAAAAATGAACTGTTATAAGTTGTATCCTCTCAACTGATCATTTTATGCAGATTTCTCTAATGAATGTGACTCGCATACGCTAATCCCACACGAATGGGTGACATGGGTCTTGTTTTTTTTATTAAAAAAAATTATATATTAGGCAAACCGTCAATTGAGATGCTACAAATAATTTTATTTGAACAGTTATGGAACGCTAGCAATATGAATAATTACCATGGAAGTGAAAAGAGATATTCCGTAGCTTAGGCACGTAATGTTGAACCAAGGCATGCTAGCCAAGATGCCATAAAGGTTAACAAACACAAGAGGCCATTGAAAAACAAGCTCAATCCACATGATCCCGATGTAGAAATCAGGCATTTCGGTCATGAGATAGTCGCCAGACTCGCGAGTGTACCAGTTCCTGAGGTCCACGAGAATGTCTGGGTAGAGGTTGCGAGGGAGGCATGCTTGCGCTTCAATCAACGGTGTTTTGAAAGCGATCACCAGGAGCAAGAGGAAGAGTAACGCATCAATGAGCTTGACAAGAACACCCATTTTCTTTTTTCTTGCTTAGTTTTGGAGGTTTGGCCTAGCTATGTTTGCGAGGAAAGGAGAATAGCTAGCCAGGAAGAAATGAGAATGGTAGCAAAAAGAGGATCTTGGAACTTTGAAAACTCAACATGGGGTGCAATTTATATTGGGTGTTTTGATTGGAATTAGATGCTTTCCGGATCCCCTCGTTAAGGATTCCGAGAATCAATTAATAACAACCGTTCATGAAAGATCGTGTGGTTATAGTTTTTTTTTTTTTTCCACATAAAATAAGGTTGCTTTACTTTTGAAAACATAAAAAGTATTCAATCATGATCGCACGATCTTCGATGAACGATTGATATTAATTGATCCATGGTTCCCCAAAGAGGATATCCTTCCGTTTTGACTCACTCACACCGGCCCCTCATATGTTTGGGGCATTTAAAATTGCTTGGTTATCGATTGGGCTTGGCAAATGAACATATCCTCATTTTCCATCTTAATGAAAATAACATTTTCATTTTTCAAAAGTAACGAAATCAAAGGGTGAAAATAAAGATGATGGCTTCATGGGGTAAATTCAATAACACTTTTAGTGAAAAAGATTAGGCGGTGCTATTCATACATCTCTTTTTACTTTTCAAACATTATTCTTAATTTTCGGTCATTGATCGAATAAATTGAAGAAGATAAAATAATAGAAATTAATAAGGATGTGTGAGGAATAAAAAATAGTGTGTAGATAGTGCCATTTTTCATTCTTTTATTGACGATTAATTACAACAAGTTTTATTTATGTATATCTCTCAAAAAGTTTTAGAGAAAGTGTTTTGTTTAAGATAAACAAAAATATTTCTCTAAAATTGTTTGGGACGATACTTTAGTTTTTACTTTTTAGAGTTGATATCACGTCTTTAAGTTATAGTTATGTATACTTTATCAACATAGACACCTTCAATGTTGAAGCCAAAATGTTTTTAACTTCTCAAATATGTTTACAACTTATTGGCCTGAAACTTTAGGTAATTCCATATTGCCATCCTCAAGAATCTTATGTAGGAAAAACAACATTTATTAAGGATAAATAAGTTAAAAAATAATACTTTTTATGTCACATCCCGGCCCGGGCGGGTCACTTCCCGGGCCCGCTCCACCACCGTAGCACGATATTGTCCGCTTTGGGCTTACCATTCCCTCACGGTTTTGTTTTTGGGAACTCACGAGCAACTTCCCAGTGGGTCACCCATCATGGGATTGCTCTAGCCCCCTTCTCGCTTAACTTTGGAGTTCCTACGGAATCCAAAGCCAGTGAGCTCCCAAAAGGCCTCGTGCTAGGTAGAGATGGGAATATACATATAAGGATCACTCCCCTGGGCGATGTGGGATGTCACAATCCACCCCTCTTAGGGGCTCAACGTCCTCATCGGCACACACGCGACCAGGGTTAGGCTCTGATACCAATTGTCACATCCCGCCCCGGGCGGGTCACTTCCCGGGCCCGCTCCACCACCGTAGCACAATATTGTCCGCTTTGGGCTTACTATTCCCTCACGGTTTTGTTTTTGGGAACTCACGAGCAACCAAATTGTCACATCCCGGCCCGGGGGGGACCACTTCCTGGGCCCGCTCCACCCCCGTAGCACGATATTGTTCGCTTTGGGCCCTGACTACGCCCTCACGGTTTTGTTTTTGGGAACTCACACAAGAACTTCCCGATGGGTCACCCATCATGGGATTGCTCTAGCCCCCTTCTCGCTTAACTTCGGAGTTCCTATGGAATCCGAAGCCAGTGAGCTCCCAAAAGGCCTCGTGCTAGGTAGAGATGGAAATATACATATAAGGATCACTCCTCTGGGCGATGTGGGATGTCACATTTTAACTACACCTCTATTAAATAATAACCTCTTTAAAATTAAAAAATTGATTTGGTCCCAACTTTTTACTTTATAAAAATTTTATTGTATATCGGTGATTTGAAATGTCACAAGTTTTTTTTTTTTTTTTTTTGGACAAGAAACGATAGCATAGTCTTTCATTAATAAACACCAAACAATTACAAAGTGTCATGGGATACATATGGAATGAATTTGCACAAAGCAAACAAATAATAGTAAACCCCTAGTAGACACCCATAAGCACAACCACACAATCGCCAAGCGCAAGAACTACCAATACAGATCTGTCACAATAAACGATAGCTGCAGCAGAGAGATATCGGCAGACACAAGGGTCATTGCTTGCCAAGCGCAAGAACTACTAGTACAGATCTGTCACAATAAACGATAGCCGCAACAGAGAGATACCGGCAGACACAAGGGTCATTGTTGAGTAGCGAGGCCACAAAAAGTCATCGCGAAAGTGCGAGAACACATCAAAGTCATCGCGAAAGTGCGAGAACACATCAAAGTCATCATTAGCAGACAAGACTCACAATTCACAACGCACAAAGACGAAGACCAAATTAGCCAAAACATCAACGCCACCGCGGTGCATAAGGGCGAGAGGAACTAAACTACACCGATAAGGCATACGATGTACAACTCATAATAGGGGAACGAGGCACTCAGGCCTAGGTCACCTACAAATTCCGGACAGTGGGACACCGGTGTCCACACACAAACCGAGCCGAGCCGCAACGAGGCGTACACGCCAATGTCACGAGTTATGTATCACCAATATTGCCCTTCTTTCATAAACTTTGTTTGCGAGTTTTTTTCTTTAAAATTAAGGACACTATTCTACTTTAAACAATAATATAAATTAGAATGAGGGGCTCAACTCAATTGCAATTGGGTGCACATTTACTCTAACTAATCCGACTACAACATGATCTCCAAGACTTTGTTCATGGTCAAATTGTCGATTTTTGTTCTAAAAAGAGTAAACTGCTGTTTTACTCTTTGAATTATTATCTTAGTTGAAATTCATCATTGTATTATTTTTTTGGTAAATTAACTCCCTTAATTATTTGAAATCAATCAATTAACCCCTCACTGTTAGATTTGATAAAATTTCATCTACTTTGTTGTCAAATACTAGTACAACTTTATCCTCAAAAGTGAATCACATGCTAGTATTTGACAGCAAAGTGGGTGAAATTTCATCGATTGTCTATGAGAGGTTAATGGAAAATTTAAAATAATTTAGGTGATTAATTTATCAAAAAAATAATTTAGAAAGTCAATATCAACTAAGTGACAGTTTAGAGGATCAAACAGCAGTTTACTCATTAAAATGGTAGTAAAATTTTAAAATAAAATCATCTCATGAAAAGCACTTTCCTGCCACTTAGTACGATCTAGTATTATTCCTCTCTACTTGTAAATGTGAAGTTTTAGGTTCGATTCTAGCCAAAAGTGAAGTTTAATCATATTATTGCTAATCTATTATGAGACTTAGCCGACTCTTTAATCTTTTAATATGTAAAATATCGTTTGTTAAAAAAAAATACAAATAAAAAAAGAAAAGAAAGGAGGCACTCTCCTGTTACATCGTCGGCCCAATGTATTACAGTATTCTTATAGAATTGGGACCGAAAGAGCTGAAGACTGAAGCTTGAGCTGCGTACTTTTACCTGAACGATGAGCGAGACTCGACCGGTGCCAAGGAGAGAGAGCCCATGGGGGAGGCCGGAGGGTGATCATCGCGAACCGAAGGCCCACCGATGCAATGACCGGGCGGAGGACGTCATCCAGGTAACCCAAAACCCTCCCCTTTTTTCCTTTTAATTTTATGATCTCTTAGGCTTATGTGAGAATTGAGATATGCAGCTAAATTTATGCAAGAATATCAGTTTTCTAATTAAGTTATTGAACTTTCTTATCAGAGGAAATTGATTCAACATTGAGTTGGAATTTAATTGTTGTTCTGGTTGCTCTGTGTTTATGGGTGAGCTTGTTTGAAATGTTTTGATGGGCTTTTGGGTACGAAGAAGTGAATGCAAGTGATTTCCAGCTAAGTAATTTTTTGACTGCTCGCGGTTGATGGATATAATTGTATGGTTTTTAGTTTAATTGTCGGTTGATGGATCTAATTGTATGGTTTTTAGTTTAATTGGGTGTTTGTGCTTGGTATAAGTTGAATTTTCAATTGAAATAATGGGAATTTCGCTTTTGAAAGAATTTAGTCATGCATCAAAATTGCATTTGAACCTCCTATAGTTTAGGATCTCCCTATATGTTTGCACTGAATCACATTTGTTTTTATCAGTTATCGTAACTAGTAAAACCGAGCACAATGTTTGCCTTTTTCCCCGGTTAATCACAATGTTTGTTGTTTGGGATTAGTGTAAAGATGCTGAATGTAGAGCAAGAACAAGTTAAGTAAATCAATACTAGCGTAGCTCATCGAGGATAAGGAGGAGGGCGTTTGCAGATGTCTGTTTGTGGAAGTGAGGAAAGAAGAAGCTCACGAGTAAGAGGATTCATCTTCAATGTGAAGGTGTCATCATCAGTCTTGATATATGAGCTAGATTTTGGTGATACCGAGTGATAATTGTGTTGGGAAAGGACTTGGAGAGTGTGTGCTGATTTCTTTCTACTAGTAACTTTGAAAGTTTTCAACTTCCCTTGCTTTTTGTAGCTGCTTCCAGAAAGATCATGTTAAAACGGCCTAATTACTTTCTTACTTTTGTTCTCTACGAGAGAGGACTGGTGTGAAAAAATTTTAGAAATCAACATTAGCAGTGTTTCATTCCAATTTTGTCAGTTGATCTTTGCCTGTTTCTTGTGTAGGCTTGTTTTGAGGGAAACCCATTTAAGACAGTTCCAGGGCCATTTAAGCTCTTCTGGCAGTGCATGCGATCTAAACCCGGGTATGATTGACCTTTAAAATGTTGTCCCAGTGTATAATTATGTATCATATTCCTACCCTAATGACGCCATAATGTGTGTGTGTGTGTATGTATATATATTTGTAATTATACATGTAATGCTGCGTCAGTTACATAATTCAATACGTGTTACACTGCCTTCTGTGATTTCTGAAGCATTTGTGTTGTTCTGCAGGGAGGAACCAACAGAGCCATTTACATATTTGCAGCTGGATCCCCCAACAAGAGAGGTGAAACTTGAGTGAAGCCACCTTTGATA